GATTGGTTTTTTTTGCACCAAAAATAAGATGGCTTTGGGCCTGTGGCTTATCTCATCGATTCAAATAATTTTTAAAGTTTGAATTGGATCTCAAATTTAGAAAGCCCATAACAAATTTAGTTCATAGGCCCAATTAATAAATAACAACACTCTAGGGTTTTGCCTTTTTGTCGCAGTACATATATATACTGTGATCGTCTATTTGCAGCGGCTGCTTCTCCATCGACGAGGTCGAAACAAAAACAAGGTATGGAATCTGATCATTTTCGTATCAATGTTTTAGGTTTCAGAATCGATTTTCTTAACTAGTTTTTGTAACAATTTAGTAACTTTTGTCTGAGAATGATTGCAGGAGAAGTAGAAGATGACAAGTCCACAAGTGAAGACTGGTTTGTTCGTTGGATTGAACAAAGGACACGTCGTCACAAGACGCGAGTTGGCTCCTCGTCCTAACTCTCGCAAAGGGGTACTCAAATCTCTCGCTTCTCTCCCGATTTAGACACTTAGATTCTGAATGATTTGCTTAGAGATAGGGATTATGTGGGTCTCTAGTTTCTTTGTCTTGAGCTCGGTTTTGTCTAAATCTGTTCTGTGTTCATGGGTTTTGTAGCTTAGAGATTGGTTTTGTTGATTTGATTCTTAGTATGTAGATAGAACTTGAAATGTTTGATAATGTTTGAGTTCTGAGTTTAGAAATGGTCTTGTTTCGGGCTAGTTTTGAAAGTTTTTGTTTTGGATTGTGTGTGATTGGAATGTTTTTTAATGTTTTTGTTGCATTGATTTGATTTTCAGTAGGTCGATAGAACTTGAAATGTTTGATATTGTTGAGTTCTTAGGTGAGAAATGGTGTTGTGGTGAGGTAAAGAAATGGTTTTGAATGTTTTTTTTTGTTTTGGATTGTGTGTGGTTAGAAAACGAGCAAGAGGACAATTTTCATCAGAACTCTGATAAGAGAAGTTGCTGGATTTGCTCCTTATGAGAAGAGAATCAGTGAGCTTCTCAAGGTTGGTAAAGACAAGAGAGCACTTAAGGTTGCTAAGAGGAAGTTGGGTACACACAAGAGAGCTAAGAGGAAGAGAGAGGAGATGTCTAGCGTTCTCCGCAAGATGAGGTACATTACTCGATTTCACTCTTTTTTGTTAGTCATCGTATTCATGTTTTCTTTCGTTTCTTAAAGATGGTTTATCCATGTCATATGTATTCGTTTGTTTTCGTTAAGTGTTTTGAGTCTAGTTAGGAAGGAGAGTGTTATGTTCCTCCTCAGAACAATTAGTGTTTCTCAATTCGATGTACGGTTTACTGAATTTAGTTTTTTTTTGGTGTTGACTACTCGCAGGTCTGGTGGAGGAGTCACTGAGAAGAAGAAGTGAGAACATCTTAGTCTTGTGTTATTTGTTAGTTCTGAACTCAAGTTTCGGATTCGCTTTTTGAAATCAGCTTTATGCCAAAAAAAAGCGTTGTGTTGTGTGTTTTTGGTTAGGAATGTGGATCAAACTTGTTTCACTCTCTTCCATTTTCTGTTTAAGCTTATAAACTTATGACACTCTATGCCCATATTTTTGTTCGTTTTTGAAAATCACACTATCCTAGTAGCACCATAGCAATCAATCCGACTTTACTTATGGTAATGATCTACGAAAACAATATTAGTTAGTGCCTCTTAAAGAAAAATGATATGGAATTTAGGCTTGAATTGTACAGTCTGTTTGGATCAGACCAAAGTCGGATCAGTCTTCACCATTTGCATTTTTGTCATTTATATTTCGGACAAAATGTTATGACATGGTGAACAATATGCAATTTTGTGTACCCAAATTGGAGCGTACTCTAGAATGCAATCTAGTGGCCTTGGTTGCTGGTGGTGGGTTTTCACAGGTTCCGATCGTTGTCAAATATCCGATATTTTTGAAAGATTTAGTCGCTTCGAATCAATTCTTAGGCTTCTTTTATTACAACTTCTTGATGCTGTTAGATTCTGCTCTCAATTTTTACCACCAGAACTATGATCACTGTGCATGTATATTATCAATGTCCAGCTTAATCTTATGAAATTGCCTTCCTTAGCTTTCAGAAGTTCAATGGAAGCTTCTGAATACCGTTAATCAAAATTCTGAGATGGCCAAGAGTTTTAGAAAGTTTTAGAAGCTTTTGAAATTGTTGGGGAACTTCTTAATTCAAGGGAACATACATTCTTTTAAAATCTATCTGTAATCTGATGTTTTGTTTTGCATCTCACTGGTATATAAACTCAATTTATGCAGATTTACATGTCCCAAAGGTTAATCTAGATTTCTGATTACCTAAAGTATATAAGATCATTAATATAAAAGAAGATACACACACATGCACGATTATACAAATACAGATGTACGCTTGTGTACTTTTTTATTAAAGTGTAGTATATGGCTAATAAGGAATCTTTGGTCTGAAAATGAAGAACGTGTGTGGTTGATGACAACTTGAGGAAGAAACGTGACAATGCAATACTACTAAGAGATTATAATCCCTTCACAACTTTATCCACATGTATGATCCTTATATTTACATCTATCCATTTCAAACATTTTAAAGATGATAGAAACTCTAGATTTATGAAGATATCTAATTATATGTCGATGTGATGTGACTTGGATAATTGTCAATATATCCTTCTAGAGCATCGATGATGCAATTAAAAGGTCTACATGTTGTTTTAATTTGTTACAAAAAGAAAAGTCTATGTGCAATTTAAATCCTATACAGTATCTATTGGATACTTGTGGTATCTACAAATTATAGATGTTATTGTCCAAGCCGCCACAATATCCTTATCTACAAAGACACAAAATAACTCCACTACTATACGGATGCACAAAATAATAATAATCAAGTTTTCATCTTTTGTTACATGCAAATGACGCATGTGAATAATTGCTTGTTCTCAACTTAGGTAAAAGCATTATAATGGATTCCAAAATTTCATTGTTCTGATCTCTGTTGAGTACATTTACCAAGTTTAGTCTAACGACTCTAACTCTGCCTAAACGATCCAAAAATATATCAGGAGAAAATCTGTCTTAGCGGACCGGTCCTATATGAGTCGGGTCAATATCGACACATGTATTTTAAGATCTCAAAAATACTGGCTCAACCACGGTCTTATTAGAACTGATTCCTACATACTTGTTTACGACATTTAGTATAGATGTTCTTGGTTTATTATGTTTGAAAAGAACGTAGTTAGATGAGGTATCATATGGGATACCAGTACCACTCAACAGACCAACTCATTCGTGTTATTGAGAAGTCGATCAATCCGCAATCGTATAGCTTCCCTACGATATTAGGACTGGTTGCAGCTGGAAGGGTTACTTCACCATTGGTTTACTCTTAATAGATGTTGTTTCGCTCAAAATTCTTCCGTCACTTTTTATTCTTTGTTACATATTTGGCTTCATCATAAGTTTTCATCAAGTTTTGTAAATATCTTTCTATTTGTCGATCAATAAGTTTAACATTTTAACAAAAGAAAAATTGTAGTTATTTGTAAGAAATTCAAAAACCTTTATTCTGTTAACATCATAAAACCTAAATTAATAACTAATAATTCTTTCAAATATATCATTTCAAATATATTCGGTTCTTATAACACATGTCATTACCCTTGCTAGTATCGAACTTGGGAAGATGGGGACATAGTGAAAATGATAAGATCAAACAACAATTAAGCGAGAGCATATGATTCACAAGGTAGATAATTTTCCAATCAAACTTGTACGTTTACCATCAAGAAATTTCAACACATAATGCTCAGAAAGTAATTGTATATGTTTCACTATTTGTAGTCACGCAGGGAAGTAAGATAAAACACATGCTGTAAAAGTGAAAGCTGATGTATCATAGTACACAAATATGCTGGTCGTCGTCTATATATGGCTAGACCTTCACAGAAATCAATACATGGATGTGCCTCCATATTATATATGTGCACAGAATTACATACATGATCAGGTGACAAAATTTAGCTTGGATTTCTGAGCCTACTTATGCTTATGTAATTTGACTCCTATAATAGTATGTGTCTTGTAATATCATCTCTTGATTTATGCCTCGATAATTATTAGTGTGATAATGTGTTTTAATTTTTATACTAAATTTGAAAGGGCGAGGTTAAACAATTTGTAATATTATGTTCATGATTATGTTTAGCT